AATCAGCAGGCAGTTCCCTGTGTCTAAAGCAGCCATGGGAACATTGCTAAGCACAGATTTATTTCCCAGAACAGGCAATTGTTTTAGAGCATGAAACGAGTTGCTCCCTGAACTACGCAGGACAAAGGGAAACAAAGTAGGAAATTATTAGAAAGAGTAATGGTACAGCAAGACCTTGATCTGCTGATAAGCATGGTACAAAAATGCTCCCAATACCCAACTGGGCAGCAGTATCCAAATTCCTCAGGCTTCTTTACAGTATCAGCTCGCCAGCTCTGGAAGAACAAATAGCAGGGAAGATTTCTGAAGAGATGAAAATGGTACATTTTCAACAGCCAGAGATGATTACTCACAAAATAGCAACAGCACAGAGGTAACTGATTGCCTCCCAGGCAAAAGTCAAAGTCCTTGTATTGTAGCTATGAAAGGATACTGAGATCAAAGAGTAAAGAGAAAAAGAAAAAAACTCTGTTTTAGGCTGTCATGAGCAGAAAGGTCCTCCTAGCCCCTTGGCATCACCACATACCAAGGTACAACTGAAACCTTTCTTAGGCTGCATGTGCTGAGATACCAGCACAGCAATGAGCAACCCTTTATTTACTGCAGGAGCAGGGTGCAGCTCCTGCCCCATCCCCAGCTGAATTCTGGCAGCATCCATGGCAAACACCACCAATCCTCACCACCACAGGTCAGGAGCCAGGGATCACAGCGTGCCAGCCCCACTCTGAAATCAGAACTGAGACAAACCAAACGCTGAGTGAGGTGTTATTAACAACACTTAGCCATTGATTGCGTGTTACATCTTCAAGCACTTTACCAACATTAATTAATTAAGGTGTTTTCCATTTAATGTGGGGAGGAGACTAAAGCAAAAACACGAGGCTGAACGGACCAAAGGCCTGATGCAGCATGGCAAGGCACCACCAGACTTCAGTTTTCCACACAGATGTTGCTGGAAACCAAACTGCTGAAAATACAGGTGTATTATACAGGTTGGATATTAGGAAAAAGTTTTTACAGAAAGGGTGATAAAGTTCTGGAATGGCTGCCCAGGGAGGTGCTGGAATCCCCATCCCTGGGTGTGTTTAACAAAGCCTGGATGTGGCACTGGGTGCCAGGGTTTGGTTGAGGTGTTGGGGCTGGGTTGGACCCCATGATCTTGAAGGTCTCTTCCAGCCTTGTGATTCTGTAGGTTCTGAAAGCCCAGAGGTGCAGCCAGCATGGACAGGGGTCACAGCTCAGCATGGACCCTCCACAGCAATGCTCTGCTGCATCCCCCTGTCATTACCAGCATCCCACCCCAGAGCACTGGGCACATCCCTGGCTCACAATCAATTCAAGCAGTACAAATTCAAGCAGGGATTCCAACACGAGGGTGCTGACACACAGCTGCAGAGATGTTACCAGTGCTGCCTGTAATTGCTGTGCTAAAAGCTGGGGACATGAAGTATTGATTTCCACCCTGATCTGCATCCAAGTTTAGACAGAGGCTGCAGCCAAAATACTTTTCCCAGCTAACTCACTGGTTAAAAGAGATTGTCAGGGCTGAGAGGTTTGAATGATTAACACTTAGGCTAAGGACTGTAACAATGTACAAGTTCCATTCCTGCCTACCCACGCACACCCACCATCCTGCTCCCCCTCTTTGCAGAATTCTTTCAGTTTTGATTAAAATTATGGAAAAGAGGCCCTCAAAACATACCTTGCAATGGCAAAAATAGCACATTGTAGCAGAAAAAATGTCTCAGAGTGCACAAAAGGGGCAGAGTTATTACCTCCAGCTGTCTCAAGCTGCACCATAATTACACAAATAACACATCTGACATACTCAGTATTAATTACCGACTGAGCGTGGCACAGAGACACACACTCACCTCCTTCCATACAGCTTGGGACTGACCTGGAGCAGCTGCTGGCAGCACTGTGACCCTGAGCTCCTGCCCACCACATGAAGGAATTCTCCCTGTCAGGGTGGGCAGGCCCTGGCACAGGGTGCCCAGAGCAGCTGTGGCTGCCCCATGACCCCTGGCAGTGTCCAAAGCCAGGCTGGATGGGGACTGGAGCAGCCTGGGATAGTGGAAGATGTCCCTGCCTGTGGCAGAGGGTTGGAACTGGATGATCTTTAAAGTTCCTCCCAAGCCAAACCATTCTGGGATTCTGTAAGCAAAGGGAGCTGATGATTCCAGCACAGGCTTTTCCTCCTGGACCAAAGCAGACCCTGCCAGGCACCCACCTGCCACTGAGCATCACCAGCACACCCCAAATCTGCACTTGCAGGCTGCCACCCTATTCCCCATCCTCCTGCCTGCCTTTAATGCATTTGCATAAATCAAACAGCTTGGCAGCCCTCCTACTTAGGAGACACACAACAGCAGAGCTATTCAGAGCTTCTTGTTTTCACCCCATCCTTCTGAACGTCGTCTCAAAATCCTTGAGGAAAAGCATATGGCTCACTATAGATATCTTGGGCCTGTCTACACAAACACAGAGTGATGTAGGAGAGCATTTATGGCAGCATATAAACAATAGTACCAAACTTAGGGAGGAAACACAAAGCAGAGTGAATCTACTCAGTGGGTTTTGCAGAGATCAAGTACTCTCCCCCTTTTCCTTCCTAAGCATGACAGACAAAACACTCTTTAGATACGATTTTACACTGAACTGACTGACTTCTGTTACAACACCAGTGGCACAGGGCTGCATACATCACAGTGTTAATAACAGCTTATTAAATTCATGGGGGAAGACAAAGACTCATTCACAGCCACGAGGCCATGGAGTCACACCTTGCTGTGGCAGCGTCCTTTCTCCTCACTGCGAGTCATCAGCGTGCTGAGCCAAATTTCTCAGCTTACAGAGTGGGACCAAACCCTCCAGAAACTTCAGCTGCAGGTACCACCCTCCCACCCAGCTGAGGGTGAGGCCACTCTTCCCCTTCCCCCATCACAGGGACCCCACAACTCCAAAGCAGGTGTAATCAGAGTTATAAGCAGAAACACGCAGGCTCTGGGGAACTGAGCACATTTCTTTGGCACCTTTACAGGGCACCAACTGTTTTCCAGCATGCTGATAGTAAAGGAACACAAAGAGGAGTTTTTTTCATCACTCAACAGATTAGAAAACCTCTGAGGAAAACAAAAAAAGCCCTGACCCCAGAGAACACACCCCCCTGTCCCCTGCCAGGACACGCTGCAGAAACGTGCATCTCCCCAGAAGCGTCCTGGAGAGGAAACGAAAGCAAACACTGAACACACCTGCAAAAATCAGTGTGAGCACGAGCAGCTGAAGGGTTTTACCTGCTTTCCTGGCTGCAAGCCTGCATTTCCACATGCATGCCCTGTACATCGTGTCACCATCTGCATTCCTGATGCCCCAGCTCCACCGGGAGGGATGGAGGCTGGCATCTCCTTCTGCCCTTTCAGCAGATTTTTATAAAAGCAAAAGAGCCTCAGTAGCCTGGCTGTGGTGTACAGCAGAGGGGGGCTGAGATGATCCCAGCCTCTGCATTTCAGAAAATCCCTGGCCACACAGGTAACTTCACTTCCTACATCCCCACCGCCACCGGGAAGCTCAGCCGGGTGAGTGGAATTCACACCCCACACCCCCACTACCAAAACAGTGAAACACAAGCTGGATGGAATAAAACCACTAATTAATCCCTCTAAGTCAGTTTGCCACGAACAACAACACACCGGCAAATCAATCCAATCAGTTCCAGCCGTGGCAGGGGGGGTGAAACAAGATGATCTTTATGATCCTTTACAACCCAAAGTGTTCTATGATTCTGTAATTCCGTGATTACATCCTGCCGGCAGCAGCTATGCCCCGCCAAAAGCTATGCTACCCTTAAAGGGCTTCATCAAAATGCAACTGTTATTTAAAATAGCGCCGAACCACCCTACCAAGGGATACAGTAAATAAGTAACGAGTAAATAACAGCTACTGACGTTTTTATCACACAGGTGTAAATTCAGTTATCGGGAAAGGGGAGGGCTCGCACTATTTTTGTTCTGACATCAAGGCTGCTCGGGGTAAACTGTCATGCAAGCCCGTAATTATTTGGGAAATATAAACCCTAAAATACAAAAGCATTCAAATAAAAACGTATCAGCGATGGCAACACACTTTGATTAACAGGAAACTGAATTTCAGTCTGGCGAGAGCACCACGAGTACTACGGGAGCGATTCGGGCTCAGTTCCTTAAGCACCACACAAAGTCTCTTCCCGCTCCCCCTGCACCCCGCTTTCAGAGACAACTTTTCAGGGGTGCGGGGGGCACAGGGGGCGTGTGCCTGGCACAGGGGCTGTCCGAGCCTACCCCCTACACCCGTGCCGGGGCTGCCGGGGCTCGGGGTGGGCTCCGGGCGCGGACCGAGCCCCGCAGCCCGGTCCGAGCTCCAAGCCGGTCCGAGCCCCGCAGCCCGGTTCGAGCCCCGGGCCGGTCCGAGCCCCGCAGCCCGGTTCGAGCCCCGGGCCGGTCCGAGCCCCGCAGCCCGGTTCGAGCCCCGGGCCGGTCCGAGCCCCGCAGCCCGGTTCGAGCCCCGGGCCGGTCCGAGCCCCGAGCCGGTCCGAGCCCCAGGGCCGGGGCTCCGTGCGGGGCCGGAGCGCGGAGCGCGGATCGCGGCGGTAACATGGCTGCTTTCCTACCGAATTACGAAACCGGCTGAGGGCGCGGGATTACCGGGGAGAGCCGGCCGGGGGGAACCTCGGGGCGGGGTGCGGCGAGGGGATGGGAACAGAGGGGGCGGCGATGGTGGCGGGAGGATGCGGGGGGCTGTGAGCATTTGGGGCGGGGGGTCCCTCCTCATGCCGGGGCTGCTGGAGCCCAGCGCGGCAGGGACGGACCCTGCTCCGAGCCCAGCGGGGAACCCGCAACGGGACGCGCCGGGCGCCCCCAAAAATAAACAATGGACAATAACACCGAGCGGAGGCGGCGGCCGGGAGTGTCCCCCCGTGGCTGCCCGCAGCCCCCTCGCCCCCTGCCCGCGGCGGGACCCACCTTGAGCGCCGTGCGGGCCGTGCTCCATGGCCGGGTCGCTGCCCAGCTCGGCCAGGCGCCGGCCGGTGGCCGCCAGCTCGGCGCGCAGCGCCGTCACCTCCTGGCCCGCCGCCTGCAGCGCCCCGTCGATGCGCAGCGCCAGCTGCTTGTTGTCGTCCATCATGTGCAGGATTTTGGCCTGGGGGGAGGGAGGAAGAGGAGGAGAGAGAGAGAGAGAGAGAGAGAGGTGAGAGAGGGAGCGGCGGGGGGGCGGGCAGGGGGCTGTGCCGGGCTGGGCAGGGGGCAGGGGCTGCTGGAGAGGAGCAGCGAGAGGGGAGTGGGCGGCGCGAGGGGGCGGCGCCAGGGGAGGGGGCTGGGAGGGTGCGAGGGGGGCTCTGCCGGGGGGACAAAGGGGAGGGGGATCCCAGAGGGGAAGGGGGAGCGGCGCAAGGGGAGGGGGCTTTGCCAAGGGGGACAAAGGGAGGGGAGAAGGGGAGGGCAGAGGGGCTCTGCGAGGGGTGCGCAGAGGAAAGAGGGGGGGCTGTGCGGAGGGGGTACAAGAGAAACAGGTTGTGCAGGGGGTGGGGGTGGGGGTGCCCCCTACCTGTTGCCCCCCCCGGCAGGCCGGGCAGGGCCGTGCCGGAGGCGATGGCCGCTCGGCCGAGGGCATCCGCGGAGGGAGCGCGGCTGCGGCGGGCGGGTCCCGCCCGTGGGGAGCGGGGGGAGCCTGCGGTGCCCGCGCCGCGCCGGGAGTGAGACCCCCCCGGGAAGTTGAGGGGTGCTGCGGGGATGCTGCAGTGCCCGCGGCGAGCTCACAATGGCACCAGCGAGGAACCGCTCTGCTAACTGAGCCCGGGTTCACCCCGAGTGTGGCCGTGCCCGGCAGCTGCCTGCAGCAGGTGGAGGAAAACGGGCTCCAAAAATCGCCCCGAAGGATTTTGGGGCGGGGGGGAAAGAGCCACCTGAGCGCTGTCAGCACTGCAGCAGTGCTAGTGCAGGAGCTCTGACAGTGGCGGTTCACGTGGCACGAACCCAGGGTGAAGAATCGAGAATTATTGGTTTCATCCATTCGCTGGCGACTGCTAGAGGGAGCGCGGATGTTTCCCTGTGCCTTATCCATCCCTCAGAGGGATCCTCTTGTGTGTTTGCCAGGGCTGCAGCAAGCCTGCAGAGCTGCCACCCTGCCCCTGGCAGCCCTGCAGATGGCTTCATCCTCACTGAAGTGAAATTGTAGAATTACAGAGTGATTTGTGTTGGAAAGGACCTTAAAGATTGTCTCATTCCAACACCCTGCCGTGGGCAGGGACACCTTCCACCACACCAAGCCCATAGACAGGGATGCTTTGGAGACCATGGCCCACGTGGTTGTACCTCCCCACTCCATCCCTGCATCCCAAATCTGCAGGCAGCCATGCTGGGAGCTGTCACCTGAGCCACCTGTACCTGGAAAAGTTCACAAATGGGTTTAGGAGCTGGGCAGGAGCCCCCATGGCAGTGGGGTGGGAGCCTCACAGAAACAGGAGTGGTGTGGGATGCACAGTGAGGAGCCAGGACTCTTGTTAGGGGGAAGTCAGAGAAAATCATGACCTGTGAGTAAAGCCCAGCACAATTTGCTAAACCCTCCGATATTTGCCTAAATTCAGGCTTTTGGCTGAACAAGCTGAGAATTTGGGGCAGTTCTTTGAACTTCAGGGTGTCCTTGTGCAGCACTGGCACTGCAGAGCCCTGATTCAAAATGCAGTAAAAAGGATAGGAAAGGGCTGCTGCTCCTGAGAGCTGCAGGGATGGCTCCAGGAGAGGCTGGACTTGAGGTAAAGCAGGAGCACATCACCATCCCACACACCCAGGGACTGCAGGATGGGGCTCTGCAGGAACTCTCTGTGTGCAGAGTGCCCAGGCAGCTTCTGGGGACAGAAATGGGGAAAATCTGCTGTGTCAGTCTGCTGAAAAACACCAACCAGAGCAGCCTGGATCCCCCAAAACCTCAGGTCTGATCTGGGTGCTGGGTACAACCAGCTCTCCAAGAGTCAAAAGGAATGAGTCCTTGCCAAGTGGCATCGAGTCCTTACATCCATCTGGATATTGTAAAACAGAGAAAATGTAGCATTTATTCCATGAAATGGTACAGTGGCTTTTGCAAGGGACAATTATTTCTGGCAGGGAGTTTCCAGCAGTGTCTGCAGCCCAAGCTGGGTGCTGCACCAGGGCACTCAGAATATCAGCTTTCCTTAATGAATTCCCAGAGGGCCAACAAACAACCCACAAGGAGAATAAGTGCAATTTTTGAAATTCTTTCTCCATCATCTCTACAGCCATCCCTGAATGAGATAAGGTTCTGCAAGTATATAAAGCAACTGAATTCTAATCAAGATAAATGCCCAGTTTCATACCTAATTTGCATGAGCATGTGCTGCAAACTGTGTTTGCAAATGGGAGAATTATGTATGTAACCAGATAACCTGAGTGTGCAATCCCAGTACTGTATATGCAAAACTTCCTCATTGCACTTGAATAAAAGTAAAGCTTCAGCAAAAAGGAACTTGGCTTTAAAGTACCAGCACGTTTTTTTTTTAATCATAAAAAAATCAGGTTAAAGCTGATTTGAACCTTCCAAGAACCCATTTAGCTGCTAAGGCAAATTCCAAATGATGTTTCTTACTCAATCTAACTTTAATAATAGACTGCTTGAGTTGCTGCACTGTCAGAACTGGATTTTTTTAAATTTACTGACAAAGAGAATTTCTACATTAGCACGTGGTTATTTAAAAAATGTGTCCTAAAGTTGGCTGTGGCCTCGTGGGTAAGTTAAAAACCTCACTCTAAAAACTTTCCTTACTACTTTCAAGCCTTCCTGAAATCCCCTGAAGAGATCTTGGAAGTTTTTCTCCCCTTTCCCATGCCTCCTCTTATCCTTACTGGGGAACAGCTGGATCCATTAAAATTGATTTCAGTCTCTCAGAGCAGAATTTGATTTCTCTGAGCTTCCTCCTGGAAAGAGCACACAGTGTCCCAGCAATATCAGCCAGAGGAAAGGCACAAGGATGGGGCATTCCCAACCCAGCTGGGTTGTGCCAGCTCCCAGTCAGAAGGCCAAGCCTTTGCTGGAAACCTCAAAATTAGGATGAAATGAAACTTTAGGAAATTAATTATGCCTCCATCCCCTACTCCTTTTAGTTTTAAATTAAGAAAGAATTGAAATGAAAAGCTAATTAAAGACACAAAATTAGAAACATATTATTTCCCAAAATTGCTTTGATGATGCTTTTTTAATTTTTTTTTTTTTTTATTCCAGCTTTTACCAGGAAGTTGACAGCTCTGCAAGGAGTCTGTGTCCCAAAGGGATGGGAGTCCCTGGCCGTGTAGATGAGGCATGAAGAGATTGGGAATACTTCCTAAGGACACAAGGGAAACCTGAGCCAATGCCAGGAAGTCACAAATCTTCATTCAACCTTACCACACTCAGCATCTGCTCAGGTGCTGCAAGGGGAGCCTTGAAAACCTGGAAAACGCCCTCAGTTTTGGGCAATGTGTTCTGGCAGTGCCATCACATCCAGGCAGGCCATTCCTCAAGAGTGTGTCAATGGAATAAACAGGGATAGAGGAAGATTTGAGAGTTCCACCCCTCTTGTTACAACCTAAGGAGTGCAGTAAAGGGAATATGAGAAGATTTAGAAGATGAAAAAAGGTTGAGAAGCACATGAGCACCATTCAGGCCTTCCAAACCCTTTAATTTGCTATTCAGATTACCACTTTTTATAGTTTAATATGTACAATATGCAAAGGAACTAGTTTAACTAAATGGGAAAAGCCTTCTGTGTTAAGGTTGAACGTAATCTAATAGGGCCCTTTGACTTGATTCAATTAAATCCTTCTTTTTCCAATTAAATAATCATCCAGAATTTAATAAAAATGAATTTCCATGTGTCATCCTGCAGAATGATGACCTCTGTGATGGGGAAGGCTTATGTAAATTCTGCTGATCGCTTTTTATCTGCCTCTGCCTCACTTCCTCCAAAAAAAATTGCCTTCTGTCTGTATATTTACATTAATTTCTCATCTGCTCCATGTATCTCTGTTTGCAGGAACAATTCCCAGCTGAAAGAGCTGTGAGCATCACCAGCTTCTTTCAGTACATCCTCAAAAATGGACCCTCTGTGATGGGAAAAACATCTCCAAAATGGGATTTTTGATCTGTGCCTCAGGTTTGTTGTGCCCTGGCATGCTGTAGGGCCAGCTTCCAATTGGCCCTTTCCAAATATCACCAGAGGCATCTCTATGGCTGTTTATCACCAAGAAAATCCAGTCCAAGAGAGCAGCAACTTCAGCAGCAATCCCCAGGAAAAGCACAGCCAGGCCCATGTTCCACAGTCTCTTCCAGCACATCTCCACTAAATGATTCCCATCAAAGCTACAGCAGTTGTTAATATCTACTATTTTTTTTCCCTCTGCAAAGATGTATTTATAAATGCATTTTACACCCCTCTCACTCATAAAATACAGAGCACCAAGTCTTTCCTTCCTCAGCTTCCTCAGCAGCATCTTTATGCAAACCTTGCTGATGTGGTGCTGCTGTAATAACTTATTAGTTAATAAAATGTATAACTAAACTATAGTTGCTAACTTATAAGTTCTTAAAACTGAATTAAACACAGCTAAGGATGGACAGGTTTAAAATTTGAGTGAGTATTCTGTTTCTCCCCTTGCCACATTTCCCCATCTCTCTCTCTGTGAGGGTAAAATGGTCTTGGCGACCTTCCTGTGCTGCACATCCCTGGGGACCATGAAAACAAACCCATTAATGTTTATAAAGTGTCTCAGACTGGGGGAATTACATCACTGTGGCGAGATACAAGCTTAATGGATCAAAACAAACCCCAGCTCCAAACCCCCCAGCTTAGACACATCTCAGTTACCCAGCACAAACCTCAAGGAATCCCACTGAGAAGGGATAATTGAGAGAAAAATGTGATCCCAGAGATTTTTCTGCTGTAAACCCATTTTATGTTAATAGAAAGCAGATTTCTAGACCCCTTTGCAAACCAATGACTTCCACAGCATATTTCACAGCTGAGCACATCCATGGCACCAGCTTTGGACACGGGGCTATTAAACCCAACATTTGTTTAATGAATTACAGCAGTGCATGAATCTGGGTGTGCTCAGTCTGTGTTTAAATGTTTATTGTCAGCAGCCAGCTCTTCATGAGCAGGTATCAGCCTCAGTGATGAGCTCTCTCTGCAATGGACACAAAACGTTGAACGTTTTTTGGGTTCTGCTTTCTTATCCAAGACAGATTACCCAGGAGGTTCAGGGTCTCTGCTAAACACAAACCTTTTGGGTTCAGTGCCACTTTGGGGTGTTTTCCCCTTGCTGATGAGCTGTTGTGCATCTCCCACCTGCCTGGGCTTGGTCCCTGGGACTGAAGGGTGGATTAAGCCATTAAAACTCACACATTCAAGCAAGGTTGATGTGCTGCAGCCATCTCCAAGATGACCCTGCTGTCACCTCACCAGTCAATCTATAAACCTCGACAAAAAATTAACTCTGGTTCATCCCCCTGTTTTAACACATTCTCCACTGCAAACTATGTGTGAAGTGCTCCCTTTCATGGTAGATAGAGACAGTGGTGATGATGTGCTGAGATCATTTTGCTGTCCTGCAAAATACCTTTGATTTATGGTGGTCTCCACTCCAGAAATCCCCACCCAGGAGCAGTTTTAGAGTCCTTTGGGCTGGTAGAGACCCTAAGGACCATTTGGTTCCACACCCTGCCATGGGCAGGGGCACCTTCCACTGTCCCAGGCTGCCCCAAGCAGTGGCCTTGGGCACTTCCAGGGACCCAGGGCCTCCCCACCCTCCCAGTTAAGAATTTCTTCCTCATATCCAGTGTAGCCCTGCCCTCTGCCAGTGGGAAGCCATTCCCCCCATCCTGTCAGTTCAGGTGAAGTCTGAATTAAATGCTATTTTCTCTCTTTTCCTCATCACAAATTAAGGAGCTTTGGTTGGGCTTTTTCAGAACTGCCAGGGTGGAGTGGGAGATCAGGTGCTGCTGGTCCCCCAAATTTCCCTGTCCTCTTGGGAAGGTGGGGATGGGGGCTCCGTGGAGAATTATCTTTGCAGCCCCAATTTGCCTCCTGTTCTGTGGTGAGCATCATGTGGAAACTTCAATGAATAGTGAGGATGTGAAGCACTCAGCAGGATAATGTGTGCTGTGAAAAAAATCCTGTGATCAATCAGCAGACAAATATATACTTAAATGAGGTGTTAGTGGGAGAGATGCAGGAAAGGTGATTATGGGTTTGTCTCCGTGTTTCCCTCAGCAACAATGCCGACACGCAGGGGTGGGTCACCCTACCCTGCCATTAATGGAGCATCAGCGCTCATCTGACAGCTCCTTTGTCCTGGGAAGTCAATTCCCATGAAGATTTGACATTAGCAGAAGCACGCTGAAACTCGGAGCCTTTGCATTTTCATGACCCTCCAACTGCTTTAGCCTGATGGATTACAGGTAAAATCACCGTCCTCATTTGGGCAGGAGGCAGAAATAAAGATTTGTACCCATCTGTTTCAGCTGTGGGAATAAACACCACGGGCAGAAGCAGTGGAAGAGCAGCACTTTGCTCCCTTCCCAGGAAACAAAACTGGGAACAGGGGCCACAGGGCAGGGAAGGGTCAGCTGGAGCATCATGTCACATTCACAATTTCTGAAAAATCCCTTTGCCCAGGATTCTACTCCTGGGAAGCTGAGAAGCCTCAGAGAAAAGGGAAACAATTCTTATCTCATTTGCTTCTGCTGTGTTGTGCTCATGTGGAATGTGTTTGGAGATTGTTCACCCACAGGTGATTGTTCCATTGGGTTTCTGTGAGTTGTTTTCACTCTTTGGCCAATTAGTGCCAAGCTGCATCAAGACTCTGGGAAGAGTCACAAGTTTTCATTATTACCTTTTTAGCCTTCTGTAAGTATCCTTTCTGTATTCTTTAGTACAGTTTAGTTTAGTATTATTTAATGTAATATAGATCATAAAATAATAAATTAACCCTCTGAGAACGTGGAGTCAGATCCATCATTCCTTCCATTGGTGGGGCACCCCACAAATACAATAGCATCAGAGAAAATGTGATTTTTTATTGCAATATTTGTCAAGTAACTGAAAGACAAGACCTCTAGGGTGGGTCAGCACTGTAAAATAATCCTAAACTTAATTCAGAAATGGAGAAGTTCAGATTGTAACAGAGAGGGGTTTTAACATGCACAGGACCCTGTCCCCCATTGGGCAGGCAGGGAGCACATGAGCATCCACAAAATTCCCATGGGCGTTTCAGGGACAAAACAGCCCAGTCCAGACAAAAGTGAAACTTAATTTAGTCCTTCCCTTTTCCTTCAGGTGACAGAACACAGGTTCTGCTCCCAGTGCCATCACTCTCCCTGGTTCTGTCAGTGGCACCAAGCCTGGGTCACACCTGCTTTGGGGACCAGTCTCTTTCACAATATAAAATATTTTCACAAGAATGTGCTGGGAGTGTGGAACAATAAAAATAGCCTTGCCCTCCATTTTCCCTGGTTTTATCCAAAATGCTGCCAGCAGGGTGGACTAATCCTGTATTGCATACAAACCTATAATTACATTCCCCACTAACCTGTGAAAGACCTAAAAATACGCCCAGATAAAGTTTCAGCATTGAAAAGGCAGCTGAAAATTTGGCATTATATTTCTACATCTACATATTACTTTAATTACAGCCATGTTTTAAGGTGTCAGTATGGATCCCTTGATTCTGTGAATGTGGAGCTTGGAGTGTACTGATGTTCATCTCTTTAAGGGTTTGTACCACAAGTTGGCTACCCTGACAAAAACAGCACTTTTCCAGGAGTGAGAGAAATCCCCCTACATCAGAAAATTCACAAATGTTCTTTTTCTTGGGTTAGGCAGGAAGATACTGCAGGTGTCATCTCAAAGGATGGGGAAACTGAGGAGCAGCTGGGCTGGAGCAGGGTGTGACCAAGGCAGAGGGCACCTGCAGCCCTGAAACAGAGCAAGGCTTTCCACTTAAATCAGGAGCAATGCCCTCATCTCTCCATGATTTACCCTAAAGGAACACCCAGCAATGCCCTCATCTCTCACTGATTTACCCTAAAGGAACACCCAGCAATTCCCCCATCTCTCCATGATTCACCCTAAAGGAACACCCAGCAACTCCCTCATCTCTCCATGATTTACCCTAAAGGAACACCCAGCAATGCCCTCATCTCTCCATGATTTACCCTAAAGGAACACCCAGCAATGCCCTCATCTCTCCATGATTTACCCTAAAGGAACACCCAGCAATGCCCTCATCTCTCCATGATTCACCCTAAAGGAACACCCAGCCTGAGAAGGGCAGGGAACATGTGTCTTCTAATAAAGTCTCTTTAACTTTGACATAGATTACTTCTTAAAAAAACCCATCAAAGCACACCAAATACATGTGATAAAGTATCTTGGTACAAAATCAATTCCAAGGTGATTATCAGCCTCTGAAAAATTTGGGCTCTAAGTCAGTTCGTGGCAGGGATCAAATTGAGCTGCTGTCAACTCATTTGGGCATTTTACTTTGCTTCTGATATCTGACAGTTAAAATAATCTCAGATAGTTCCCATTACTGCTGCATTTTCTGCTTTTTTTTGCCCCAGGGAAGGGCTGTGCAGAGCCAGGCTCCATCCCAGCCACCTCCCAGCCTGCAGCATCACTCCCCAAACGTGGCTGGGGGGAATCCAGGCTGCCACAGCTCCCTGATCCCTTCCTCCACTTTGGGGAATAATGGTAGATAGAAAAATGGTAGAACTGATGGGCTGTGAGCTGCCACAGGCAGACCCAGGTCCCTCCAGCTGCTGCTGGGAGCAATCTGTGCTCCCAGAGGGGTCCCCTGGTCACCAGCTGCAGTGCCAGGAGGAGCTCAGGCCTCCTGAGAGAAGGCTTGGAGCATCATCTGCTGCTAATGCAGGTGAGGCTTATTAATATTATTTATATTAATAGCTTTTCATGAAAATGGGGAAGTTTTCTCCAGGGAACAGGGAGATGCCCTCAAATGATTGCTTGGTGGAGCAGGAGGCAGCCAGGGAAAAGCTGATTTTTTATCATAGAATCAGAGTGGTTTGGACTGGAGGGGCCTTAAAGTCCTCTAAAGGGATCTTAAAGCTTATTTGCCATGGCAGGGACACCTTCCACAGTCCCAGGCTGCTCTAAATCCCATCCAGCCTGGCCTTGGGCACTGCCAGGGATGCAGGGGCAGCCACAGCTGCTCTGGGCACCCTGTGCCAGGGCCTGCCCACCCCAGAGGGATCACTCTGAGAGGTCTCAGACAGGGCCAGGGCAGATATGAAATGCCCCCCTCACCCTCCCCCAAAGGCTAAATTAATAATATTTTTCTAAAAGCACACCTGGATGGACTCCTTAGAAAAATCTAAGCATGCTGGGAGGCTGCAGTGGATGCAGGAGGTTC